GGAAAAGGAAACGTATTCCTATATAAAAGAAAAACAATATTTGTTTATTTTATTTCATATAAATTTAATTTATAAATAAGGTATTAAATTTATTTGATAATTGATATTGTAAATGTTTACAGATTAATTTTACAGACAGCCGCAAAACGATGTTCAAAAATATGCATCGTTATAACTATCCCGCGAACCGCGAGAGCGAGCGACCGTTTTAATATAATGTAATGTAATAAGATAACTAGGATTGGATAAGTTAGCATTATTTTTTAACTGAATTAAGTTAGAGTTAATGACTTATGTAAATTAATTTATCACGTTAAAAGTTACATAAAGAAAAAGCTAATTCTAAATAAAAAGTTATGTTGAAATTAAATTAACTTAAATTAAGTTAAAAGTTAAAATTAACTTTTAACTTAATTTAAGTTAATTTAATCTTAACGTAACTAAATTAATTTTATAAACCATTATCTTTAACTTAATTTAGTTAAAAAATAATGTTCCAATTCTGATTATTTCACATTACATTATATTGTTACAATCGCGGCAGAAACTTTCTAGATTTTCACTCTCGCATTTCCGCACACTCGCGCAATCTAAGGAAACTGTATTCAAAATAATTTACACTCTCTTAAGAAACACAAGAATTTTATTTAAACCAGAACAAGATACCAAAATGTACCGTCCGTTCATTCCGAGACAACTCATAAATATTTCCATAGACAACGCCCCGGAGAGCGCTTCGTTTCTTCTCTAAAGGCGGCTTGATTCCGCTCGGCCGCGAAAGGTTCGCGCGAACATAACAATATTATATCATTTCTATACATTTATATTCCATTATAAATATAATTTTACAATTTTACAATTTTATTTACGATACAAAAAATTAATTTTATTTGCACAGTGCAAATTTATAAATGTGCGTAAAATTATTACAATGAGTCTTCAAATTTCCCGCAATAATAGTTGTAATTTTACAAATAACTTTTTAAAAATGTATAATAGAAAAATTATTATGCGATCATAATTAAATAATCGATTAAATAAACAAGTAAATAATCGTTAAATAATCAATAATTAATCAGGATGAAAAGGAAAGAAAGGAAAGCGCACAGAGACCTCACGATATCTCACTCGCATTAGTATGTGAAACGCCAACGGACACCCCGAGCTGTATCATGTCCTGTTAGTGTCGGTCCATAATAAGTGATTTAAGCTTTAAGAAGTAAGAAATTGACCAATCATAGTCGATTATTCTTTTCATATTCAATTATAATTGGTCAATTTCTTACTTCTTAAAGATTAAATCATCTATTGTGGACCGACACTTAAGCGGCGTCTACAATGAGACTTTAAGACGTAAGACTTAAGAAATTGGCCAATCATAATTGATTTATAGAAGAATAATCGATTGTGATTGGCTAATTTCTTAAGTCTTACGTCTTAAAATTTCATTGTAGACACCGCTTTAGTCCCGTTCTACAATAGATGATTTAAGCCTTAAGCCGTAAGAAATGGACGAATCATAGTCGAAGAATAGGAGAATAATCGACTATCACTGGTAAATTCTTATGGCTTAAGGCTTAAATCACCTATTGTAGACCGGGACTTATGCTTTCGATCGTGCGTCTTGCGTTAAAGATGCAACATCGAATTGTTCCTATTATTTTTTCCTTCTCTCCACGATCTCCTCCGCGCTACCAGAGACACCGACGTACGTGATGTATAGCGGCTGCGTGCCGAGTGTAGAGGAACATCATTAAGCTGGATGCACAATGAAATACACAAATCTCCTTCCTAATACACACGCACGCATGCATGCACACACACGATGCACAAATTCCGACTAGCAATCTCCCCGTAGTGCGCATCGGATAATATTAATGCTGGCGATAACTGCAAACAAAAATGCATAAGTAACTTCGATGTAACACTGTAATTCCGTGAAAAAAGAATCGTATAAACTTTCCTTCTTTAATTTGTAAAAAAAAGTTTAACTTTTACGATTATCATGATATTTGCAAAAAAATTCATTCTGTTTCGTACAATCTACGTCTAATCATGCAATTTTTTTGAGAGATGAAACATCCTTATCCTTACTTTTTAAAAGAGAGAGGACTAAAAGAAAGATAGAGTCAAATGACTAATGTTTTTTAAGATACAGACTTTACTCTTGAAAATCTTGCAAAAAAAGAATTTTCAAATATGTATAATCTTTTGTAGAGTTGAAGTTATGTTAAATTTTAATATAATTTTATCTATTTAGTTTGTTAATTTTATTTCTTGTTAACGAGTGTACATGATATATTATTAATATAGTATATAACAATATAGTATAATATACTAATATAAGTACACACACACACACACACACACACATACATACTATACATACTGTGATCAAATATAAACGAGATTTTTGTTATAGAGTGAAAAATCTTTATTTATTCTTCAAAATCAAATTCGTCGCCTTCAAAATAATCCCCTCCCGATGCAATATACTTATGCCAACGCTTTTTCCAATCCTCGAAACACTCTGAAAACTCTTCTTCCGGAATGGCCTTCAATACCTTCTTCGTTTCGGCTTGTATCTTCTCAATCGATTCAAAACAAGTCCCTGGAGCGGTCTTTTGAGTTTACTGAATAGCCAGAAGTCACACGGTGCTAAATCAGGCGAATACGGTGATTGTGGAACGATATGGATCAAGTTTTTGGCGAAATGGTCACGAAAAACCAATGCAGTGTGAGATAGCGCATTATCGTGGTGCAAAAACCATGAGTTGTCTGTCCATAAATCTGGCCTCTTGGTCTGGACTGATCCAAATGAAATGTTTAAAGTATCGGCAAGTTCTCTAATTGTCAATCGACGATTTTGGAGCACCAAATCTTTGATTTGCTTCACGTGTTGTTCATCAGTTGATGTTTTTGATCGTCTTTGATGTGGTTCGTTTTCTATGCTTTCTCGACCATCTTTCAACATTTTATACCAGTCAAATACTCTTGATCTTGATAGAGCCTGGTCACTAAAAACCTTCTGCAACATTCTGAACGTTTCAGTAGTAGAAATTTCATTCCGCAAATAAAATAAAATACAATTTCTTTGCCCAACAGAATTACACATCGTAAAAATCGAAAAAAATACTTTTAGATATTCATAAAAACGAGCTATTAAACAAATAAAGAGAATGACATGAAATTTCACATAGATGTCAAAGACAGTACTACCAACTTAATCAAAAAAATATTTGTCAGAATCGATGAACCCGAGCAGTTTAAATTTAAAAATCTTGTTTATATTTAATCACAGTAGTATATATACATATACACATATTCACATACACACGCACACGCACACACACATATGGCATTGCATATATTTGCGATTGTTGAATAATTCGAAAATAAAGATTCAACTTCTGCTTTATAATATTTATTTTTAATTACCTTTAATTTTTATATTATAAATGTTGTATGTTCGTAATCCATCAAATATGACTCATACTAAGTTGATAAAGCACGACGTCACCAGAGATTCGTAAAGTATCTATGATAGATGATTTCATTCTATGTCCAAATTCACCAATCACCTTATTATCCAGCCATATTGTATATCCCTCGTATTCACAGTGAATTCTATTAAATACATATCCATTATTACGAAAATTGTAGACTATAATTTAACTACATAAATTCTTAAAAAAGTCATATCATTTCGCAAAATTCGCAAAAATCTTACATAAGCAAAAAGTCTCGACCGGGCATCCAAGATAAGTGGCCTTGATGTCGTTCTTCATGAGCCCATGTGCCACAGTTCCAGCAATTCATGACGACATATGGCGCGCTATTGCCATATAAAAAACGTGGATTTAAATGCAGCGGTATAATGGGATGCGGATAAATAGTTTTACCTTTTTGTAAATTGACATAAAACCTGCAAAGAATCATAATATCTTATTATGTAAATAAATTTTAACAAATACACACATACACATGCGCGCGCGCGCGCGGTGTGTGTGTGTGTGTGTGTGTGTGTGTATGTGTATGTACAGGGTAAGTAAAAAGTTCTGAACCAGTGAAATATCTCGAAAGCATTTTTTAAAAGAGATGTTTCCTACAAAAGTTGTAGGATTTTAAATGATCTATTCACTAATCTGATCAGTCTGACCTTGAGTGTCGCCAAGATTAGGTCGAGATCACATCAATTTTTTTAAATGGCACACCCTATTTTTGATTCCAGAATCTAGCTGGTGTCAAGAGCTTTTCACAGCACAAAACAAAACACAATAAAGTTATTTTTCATAAAGTATTTTTCAAGTTATGAGGTTTGAAAGTTACAACATTACTGGCATTTCCTTGTGCTTAGCATTATCCGGGATGAATGAGACATGGATGCGGGGCTCTTATCTCATTGAAAAGTTTCATGTGAATCCACGCCTCTCACGTGTGTGTGCATGCACTGATCTAATTTCAAAATCAATAATTATAGGAACGATTTGACATTTCACTGAAACAAGTAACATGAAAGATTGCCCGCGTAGGGCTAAAAAATCACAGACTTCATCCCTATGAAATGCATTATGTGCAAGAGTTGATAATGATTATATTAGATGTTCGAATTGCCTTTGTTCCACCGCTTGACAGTACTAACCTTAACTGAAAAAAATTTCTGACATTTCTTATATCAACAGTTATTAGACTCATTTTGTCAGTTATTCTCTGCTTTAATTCTTCCACATTCGCAGACTTTTCTTTTATGATACGTTTTTTAAAGAATCCCTATAAAAAGAAATCAAGTGATGTGAGATCGGGAAATCTTGAAGGTCACTCAATCGTTCCATGCCTCCCAATCCATTTGTTCGGAAAAGTTTTATCCAATACCTTCCCTTAATCGTACCCTTAATCTGAAATGCGTTGGAGCTCCATCTTGTTGGAACTATACGCAATCGAAATCGTTAGGAAAGAAATTTCGAATAGAAGGAATAATCAATTAGTATTGTTTCACAATCATTGTACACCTCAGAATTGAAATATTAAATTGTAGGCGGAACAGTATAACTAACAGTGTTTTGCCGATGCTTGACATCATGCTAACAGCGTAAGGATTGGTTGAGATACGCAAGTACTCTTGGGATATGTTAGCAAGCATCGGTTTCAATGAAATGTTGAATTCGTTCCTATAACTGTTGATTTTGAAATTAGATTTCACGCACATCACACGCACACATGTGAGAGGCAAGAGGACTCATGTAAATCAGGCCAAAAGGATCCCGCCACGTTCATATCGTTCATCCTGGGTAATGCTAAACACGGGGAAATGCCAGTCGTGCTGCAACTTTCAAGCCTCACAACTCGAAAAGTACTTTATGAAAAATAACTTTATTATAGTGAAAAGTTCTTAACATCACGTATTAGATTCTAGAATAAAAAATGGGACGAATCATTTAAAAAAACTAATGTGACCTTGACGACGCCATCCAAGGTCAGACTGATTAGAATGAATAGATCATTTAAAATCCTACAACTTTTTATAGAAAACATTTCTTTCGGAAATGCTTAATTTTCGAAATATTTCACCGGTCCGGGACTTCTTACTCACCCTGAATATACGCTTATATTTATTAAATGCTTACGAATGTGGCAACAACTTTAATCTGCCATTAATAAATAGACGAGTACCGACGCGAAATTCGTTGCCAATATCCACAGTAATAGGAACATCCTAGAAAGAAAACGGTCAAAATTAAAACAGTCTCACGTTCCCGTGCGGAGAATAGTCAGTCGATTGGGGAAGTGAGGACGTTGGAAGCAGAGAGAGAAAAGTGAGAGTTTTCCGCAATTATAATTTAATATTTATTAAAATTAAAGAAGTATTGGATGTAGATTACAATATATAAAACAAGATAGGATGTAAATATCAAATATAATAAGATTGCTATATGTAATAACTGGCCATATTTGGGCAGATGGCGGTTCGTAGTATATTTACATGTACAATAAGAATGTATGACCATTCGGGCGGTCGGAGCACCGACTGTGGGCTGCGCGATATTTCGGAGGCGCGCAGGGCGAACGGTGGTAAGACACGTGTTTCACGAATTGTCAAACGCCGATGAAGCATCGAATTATTTCCGCGGGCGGTAATTTTTATTGCGTAAGCTTAATCACGGGTGGTTTTTGTGATCGCTCGGGTCATGGAGATCGGGCGTTCCGATCTCTTGAGAGTGAGTTTCAAGATTGCCGAACGTACTCGATTAGCTAGGGCGTGCCCCAGTTCTGGTGGAAGATATTTCGGACTGGCGAGCGTACTCGGTCAGCTGGGGCGAGTCCCAGTTTTCAGAATCGGTCAGATGGATGCCCTGTCGTATCAGGGAAGACCCCGATATTCAGCAGCGAAATTCGGTGAGGGCGAAACCGGACCAAATGAACTTGATGCGCTGGGGAGGTTCCCAGTAGCTTACGGCTTCCCGCGGAAGGGTTTGGAGACGGTTCAGCCTGGCCAAGCGTATTTGGCGCGTTGGAGAGATCTCCGATAAGTCTCAGGCTTTCGCCGAAATTGGATTCGGATACTCGCTTCTGTTGAGACGTGCTCTTGAGAGTCGAGCGCGGAACAGGATGGCCTTTCTGTGAAGAGTGATGTCTTTATATCCGAGATCGACCTCGGTATTTTTCGGTCGGATCGGTCAATCTCGGGCATCTCTCTCCACAGAAGTGGAAAAAGGAAATCGTATAATTGGTTTTTCGGGATAGATAAGGGATCGAAGTAGGAATGGATAGGAGTAGGAAAGAAGTTCGGTGAGGTATCGATGCGGAGCGGGAATGGTTTTGCCACTCGTAAGCGCGATGCGGGATGCTCGCTCGCTTTCATGGCGCGGTGTCGGCGCGGCGCAGGGAACATTGATGCTCAGTGATGCAGCGCGTAGTGTGATGTGAGGAAAATACCACGAAAACATGCGAGAATTCGCGATATTCTCTCGCTGTTACTCTGAATTTCGGAGCTCGCAATTCTCAAAAAATTAAAAATAGGCGTAAAATGTCCTTTTGTGACTATTACCGCACTCCGTCTGATGTTCGGCGGTCCCCGACGGATGGTCGGTCGGGGGAAAAATTCGAAACAAGAACAGAGCGGAGGGATGTGCTCCGTTACAAAGTTTAATCACATATATTGAAGAAATGATTTAATACATTTAGATTATCTATATAATAAATCTTGATCTACATCTTGTAGATTTGTGTCAAAGAATTTCATATCTATAGATTGTAACTAAAGATTCTTAAGGGGATCCTAAAGTGATGAGAATTACCGATTACTATATTACAGTGCACCAAAGAACTTTTTGTTGGCTTTACAGATTGCACAATTCTTTTAGGCAATTAAAATACGCACAAAAAGAATGTACGGGACGATCGATTTAACGAAGAAATCAGGAAAAAAGTTAAAAAATTCACTTAATTTTAGGTCATAATTTTAGATCGGCTGTCATTTCAGATCTTCATTTCCTTGATATAAAAATTCAATAATTCGTATACAAGATGAGTGCATTCCGCACTTTGGATTAGATGAAAAAAACAATACTATAAATAAACAATACTATATTTTTGGATTATGATTGAAAGCTTAGAAAAGATTTAATACATGAACAGATTGTGTATGATTGTGTATGATTTTACGCGTATATATATTTTATATCTGCGCCAAGTATATATATATATATATATATATACTTGGCGCAGATAATAAATGATAAGTAGA